CACATCAAGACCATCCATCAAAGAAATATTAGCACACCCATGGCTGCGCCATGATCAAGACATATTGACATCTTCAAGGGAAATCCCTCAAGAACCAGACCCTAACATTGCTTTTGAAATGTTTTTACTGGGGCATAAAATTAAAGACCTAAGATATGCATTGAAAGATCGGGAGTATAGTCGTGACATGGCAACCTACCTTATCATCAAAAGAAAGTGTACCTGGTGGCCCCAATTTTGTCACGATGGAGGGCAGGGTGGTACACTGGACCCTAGAAAAGCTCCCAAGCTTCCTTGTTCTTTAAGGAGGGGAACCAGTGCAGCACACCTTCCTACCTACACTTTGCCCAGTCACTCTGACCTGCCTGAAGATAGGAGGAAAGGCTGTAAGAGGAGGCACAGTGTGCCTCTCATGCTTTCTTCCCTTAAGAGTAGCGACCTGGAAAACCCTTCACCACTGCAGGGGCTTATGCCTCATGTGGGAAAGGGGACATTCAGAGAACAGGAAGACAGAATAAATTCTACAACTTCACTCTCAAGAAAAAGAAAAGCAACAATGACAACAAGAATAACATCATCTTCAGGAACCACAGACTCACTGTTCAAGCTCTCCGAAACCTCAACCTTTGAAAACACACAAGATGGGACAAATGAGAACTCTGAGTCTACAGACGAATGTAGCAGCAAGTCCTCCTTGGAGTCCACAACCAGCAGCCCCGTTCCCAGTAAGAAAACCCAAGAAGAGAATACAGGTACTGAATCTTTCAAAGACACTAGCTCATCCTCCTGGGGGTCTACAACCAGCAGCCCCTTCCCCAGTAGGAAAATCCAGGAAGAAACTACAGACACCAAATCCTTCCCAAGCTCCAGCACATCCTCCTGGGAGTCTACAACCTGGAACCCCTTCCCCAGTAAGAAAATACAGGAAGAATATACAGGGATGAAATCCTTTCAAGACACCAAATCACCCTTCAGGGAAATAGACTATCATGGGCCTCCTCAAAGGCATGACCAGGCTGTGCCCAGAGTCTCACGGAGAAGGTGGGGATGGAAGAGCCTGAAGAAGAGGGTATGGAAAGCTTTAAGAAGCTTGTGTTGCTGCTGACTCCCAGAGACCAATAACAGAATCGTGGCTGTCAATGAAGACTGCTTCAGAGACACAGGCTGAAACAAGTAGGTAGGGTGTGATGGGAAAGGATACACTCTCTAGTTTCTTCTTAATATATTACAGCACGCACATTGAGGGGGTTGGTGACATTGTGTCTATCATGCCAGAAAGAAAATCCCATCCTGCCCTCCCTCCTCTGAGGAGCCCTACAATGCTTGAGCCACATGGAGACAGCAGAGGACAGTGACCCAGCAGCTCTGGGCAAGGCTGCTGGAGAAGGTGGGTGAAGGGATCAATGGAGCACTCGGGAGGAATCAGCCTAAGGGCCCATGTCTGCACAGGGCCAGCACAGCCAACCATAAGTCCTGCAGATTTCTAGTAACAGTTCTTGTGTCTGTTTCAAGTGCTGTCAGAGTCCCTGTGGTCCCCGGAGGGTGACACCAGAATGTGGAGAGGAGCCAGCTGAGGATGCAGACAGGAGCATGGATGAGAGAGCCAGGTAGGAGTTTCAGGTGCTATGTGCCAGTGGGAAGACTGGTCCATACTGCAGGCTAAAACTAGAGGCAAAATGCTTTTCCCTGAAATCTGAAGTAAGATTCTTGGAATAAGGTCTGAGCGGTGTTCCTTCTGCCTATTCCCTATAGGGAGTTCTACACAGGGCATCAGTCCCAGTACAGCTGTGGCCCTGAGCATTAATCTTCACAGCACCCAGAAGCCCCTGGAAGAAGCATCCATGGAGTACTGGTGATGACCAAAAGAACTGAGAAGAACCATCAGACTGCAGAGAACCTTCATGCACAGTGAGGATGTCAGCTTAGCTGCCTGGCTGCAGGTGTGCTTGTGAGCTGAGGAGACAATGGTACTGGAGGTAGAGGAAGAGACTCAGAGAACATGACCTGTTCCATGGGTCCAAGAGATAGGTGTCTCCAGGATAGAGGCAGCAACAGAACTGAGAAGCAGTGAGGGTCCATCTGGAGTCCAGAAGTGAATCCAGAGTGGGTAGAGAGAGCTCAGCCCCACAGTTCTGCTGCAGGCCTCCGTAGCATCCTGACTACTGCACAGTCACAACGCAAGATCCTGAAGCCCTCACAAAGCTCCCAGCTCTAGTCTCTGATTGTACATGTTACAGTCACACTTGAGTCATTTGATGGGTATTCCTTAAATTTGGTTGGACACACAACACACACACACACACACACACACACACACACACTATCGATAGTAATGAGGTTTTCTTGAAGTGGAGAGAATCCACATTCAAAACAAGGTAATTTCATAGTTTCACTGACTCTGCCTTCTGGAAACATTCCTCCAAATCAGTGTTCTCTCGTCTCCACTCCCTTCTGACAAAGTAAATCCCTATTCTCCTGCTTTCTAGGAGTCATGGGAAGCCAGGATGGGCCTCGTTCCACACTTTGGCCCAGGGTACCCAGCCATGTACAAAGTGATGCTTACCTGTGGACTGTCATTTGAGGAGATCCAAGGTGAGGTCTGAAGTTCTTGCCACTTGAATCCAGAGAAAGTGCTGGTAAGAAGTATTGCAGTGAGGGGCAGGGAAATGTTGATAAGAAAACAGATGAGATCCCCTGATAGGACAGTATGGAGTTTCCTCTGGGTGACCCATGGTGACTTGCTCCATTTCCACCAAGTAGAAAGACCCAGAGGCCCTCAAATGTGTTAAAGAGGAACTGGATTCCTCTATGTCCTGATTCCACTCTCTACTGCAAACTATTTGGTGTATATTGATGTTTTTTCCATAGAGCTGGCTGTTGGCATGCTCATGTCTTTGCTAACTCTGCCACCACTGCTCCTGCTGCTGCTGCTGCTCCTCCTCCTCCTCCTGCTGCTGCTGCTGTTGCTTCCTGATGTCCATTGCAGGCTGGGAAGGGTCAGGTGCTTCTGGGGCCAATCAGTGAGCATTCCAAAGCCTGATGCTCTGGAAACTACAGAAAACACAAGTAATATTACTCAACAGAGAACAAGGCTTGCAGCCACTCTCACCTGCAGGGACTTTGGAATTGCCAACTTTTCAGCACAGAAAACCTGGGTGGAAGAGAGGCACACCAGTGATGCTTCCTGGCTCAGGCCATAAGAAAGTTATAGTTATTTATGAGGTCATGCACAATTGAACTTTTTGTAATTCTTACCAAGTCCACCTTTGTTCAGGTATTCTTAATAAAAGAGGCTCTTACATTTTTCCCCCATCAGTAAAATCTGTCCACCCTCTACAGTTGCCTGACTTCTCTTCCTAAAAAAATAAATTGGGTCATGTCATTCCCTCTTCTTAAAGCACTCACATCCCTTAGCACTGATGGCTTCTGTGAACCAACCACACTAGAGTCGACTGGGGAGCTCATTAGGCTGTCATCTGCTACAGCATCCGTCCCCTTGGAGAGAAGTCATAGGGGTCTCCAAGTGTAATGAGGTCCCCAGGTGATTTTTGTAACCACTAAAGGTAGAGAACCACTGTCCAGCAGGAGAGAGCCCAAGCTTCTTGGGCAGAAGTGAAAGGTTCCTGCCCCTCTGGGGATGATTGCCTCGGTGTCCTCTACTCTGTATTATGTGCCCCCAAACCAGTCACACTGGATTCCTCACTCCATCTCAATACTTCAGCCCCTCCCATGCTTCAAGGCCTTCTCTATAGATTGTTCCTCCATGTGATGGTTTGTGTATGCTAGGCCCAGGGAGTGGCACTGTAAGAAGGTGTGGCCCTGTTCAAGTTGCTGTGGGCTTTTTGGAGTAAGAGTAGCCTTGTTGGAGTAGGTTTGTCACTATAGGCATGGGCTTAAGACTCTCACCCTAGCTCACTGGAAGTCAGTGTTCTGCTAGCAGCCTTCAGATGAAGATGTAGAACTCTCATCTCCTCCTGTACTGTGCCTGCTTAGATGCTGCCATGCTCCCATCTTGATGATAATGGACTGAACCTCTGAACCTGTAAGCCAGCCCCAATTGTCCTCTATAAGACTTGCCTTGGTCATGGCGTCTGTTCACAGCAGTAAAACCCTAACTAAGACACCCTGTCACCTCCTGTGCCTATGATACTGTTTAATCTCCCTTCCTCTGTCCACCATGTTCCATCACACAGTCTAGCTCACTTGTCCATTCTTCACAGCCTTTCCTCACTCATGCTGGCTTCACTGAGTATGTATA